CCCCCCCGTTAGATGCGGACGGTGTTGATGCGGAGAGGTTGGACGTTCTTCCCATTGGCATGACTCTGCCCGGGGCTAAAATAAGAGCAGAGCTTGCCAGGAAACCTCTCCCGAAAGGTGTAGAGCCAGGACATGTCATCAGCGTTGTAGAAGATGAGAAGCCCCTTGTCGTAGTCCAGGAAGACCCCCACCTTCTCCAACTTGCTCTTGACATTGAGCCGGGTCCAGGGCTCGGTGCAGGCGCTGTACTGGTTACCATCGTGCATGACGATGCAATAAAAACCTCGGCTGGGTTGAATTTGGATGCTGCCTTTACGGGTGACGGCTTCGTGGGCCAAACCGATCATCCACTGGGTCTTCTCGGAGACCACCACCTCCCAGTAGTGGACCCCGCCACCAAACGCCTCCGAACCCAAGACCGAGACCTCCACGTCAAAGCGTTTGGGGGAGTCCTGCAGCGGTTGGGGGTGTAGGTTGCCGTAAGCCACGATAGTGCAGTCGTCGGAGAGGATGAGGCGGTGGTGAGCCGTGCCGGGGTCCAGCGTCAGGGCTGCTGGCACTGCGGCACATGGGGACAAGGGACACACACACACACACACACAAGCGTCAACGCAGCCCCCAGACTCAGCGCAGGGGGGCTCTGCCCCACTGGTTTGCAAACCATGGTGGGGTGGAGGTCACCAGTGCATCCCCATCCCTCGCTGGCATGTCCCCCCCCCTCACCGGTGATGTCCCCATCCCTGTCCCTCACTGGTGATGTCCCTGTCCCTCAGAACTCCCCACCAGCCCATCCCCACACCCCTCACCGGGATGGATATCCTGGAAAAGGGACTTCCAGATGGTGTACTGCAGCGGCCCCATGTACTTTGAGGTGGGAAAGTCCTCGTAGGTCAGGTTGGTCTCGTGGATCTTCCCCTTCAGCCTGCAAAGGGGAGATGATGAAGAGGGAACGACGTGGAAGACCCCGGTGTTACCCCAGTGTCACCCACCTCTCGGAAAGGGATGCGACGCCGGCTAAAAAGACGTGTTTGTCGGCTTCGGCCAAGCGCTCCTGGAGAATCTGGCTGCCCTCCTGCACCTTGCGGAGCTGTTGGCTGTAGCGCTGGATCTTCTGCTCGATGTCGGTCAGCGTCCGCGCCGTGTCTGCCTCCAGCTCCTCCAGCATCGCCTTCTGCCGCTCCCGCAGCAGCCGGTGCAACCGCTCGAAAGCCTCCCCGATAGTCACCCGCAGGCTCTTGGCTGAAGACTTTTGGGATGCAGACGGGTGTCACGACCCCACAAAACCTGCCCTGACCCCTCCATGAATCCATAATTCCCAAAATAAACCCCTACAGCCCTGTTAACCCAAAAGATTCCGGATGCTCCAAGCATCCAAGGATGGATATTTGACACCACGTCTCTATAGGAGACCTAGAAAACCCCCATCACTGGTGGGGATGGAGAGAAAATTGAACCTTGCTGAAAGCTGAACACCTGAGCAAGGAGGAGATAAATATAAAATTAAAAAATTAACGAAAAAGATGAAGAAAAACAGCCCTGAAAGAAGTAAGAGGGATGAGCAACTTGCTGGTGTGTTTTGGGGTACCAGGTGAGGAAAAAATGGGGCAGATCCATGAAACTGTGGGGTTTGGGGTCTCTGCGGGTCCCCAAATCAGGTCGGTGAGGCTTGGGGCTGGGGTGTTATCAGGGGGCACGGCCACATCCCCTCTGGTACCTTGGTCTCAGCCAGCTGCCGTTTGAGGAGGTGCAGTGCTTCGGTGTGGCCACGCTCACTCTCCTGCAGCCCCTGGAGCTGCTCCTTCAGCTCCCGCTGTAAAAAAAAAAAATCATAAAATAGGGGATCTGGAGGGAAAAAAGGATCCTAGCAGGCAGCTTTCCTGCAAAAACCCAGCTCATGGGGTACAGGGGTGGTGGGAAAGGGGGGGCAGGGCATGGGGGGTCCTTGCTGGCAGGGGTGTCCCGTCCAGGGCAGAGCAAGGGTGCAGGTAATGGCTTGGGGGGGCAGCTCAGCAGATGCATGTCTGGCTGGTTTGGGGTTCTTCAGGTAACTCCAGTGTGGATGAAGTAAGGGGACATCCCGTGGGGGCAGCCACAGAAGCGCATGTGAATTGACAGACGGACAGAGGGGTGGGAGGAAGCTACAGTACTGATGGAAGGGGTGCGGGGACAGACGGACAAGAGCCAACACACAGAATCACGGAATCCTCTGGGTTGGAAAAGCCCTTGAAGCTCCTCCAGTCCAACCATGAACCTCACCCTGACCATTCCCAACTCCACCAGATCCCTCAGTGCTGGGTCAGCCCGACTCTTCAACCCCTCCAGGGATGGGGACTCCCCCGCTGCCCTGGGCGAGCCAAGGGGGGCACGGACAGATGAGGGAGCTCAGAGGAGCAGCTCAGGGCAGGGGCTGCTGGAGGGATGATGCTCCGTGGTCAGGGACGAACGGACCCACCTGCAGCTCCTCGAACGCATCGTCCACGTTGGTGACCTGGTGCTGCTCATGCACGGCAGGCTCGTCGCAGAAGAAGCAGACGACGGCACGGTCGGTGAGACAGAAGAGCTTGACCTTCTCGTGGTCCTTGCAGGGGAAGGGGCTGCGTTGGGCACCCAGGATGGCGTCCAAGGGGAAGGCGCTGTAACGCTCCACGATGTTGGCCAGCTTGAGGCTGGGGGCCAGGGTGGGTTCGGCGAAGGTTCGGCGACACTCGGGGCAGTCGCGGGTGCCCTGGGGCTCCTGGCGCACCCAGTGCTCCGTGATGCACCGGCGGCAGAAGTAGTGCTCGCACCCGAAGCTCACTGGGTCCTGGTAGATGCTCAGGCAGATGGAGCAGAGCAGCTCATCCTTCAGGCTGCAGGCCATGGCGCGGGGCTGGGGGGGAGGCTGGGGGGGCAGATGGTGAATGGGGGGGTCCCGAGGAATGAAGGGGTCTGGGTGCGAGGCTGCTAATGAGGGAGCTGGAATATGGGGG